AACTGCAGTTTTTCTTTTTAACAATACCGATGAACTTCCAATTTTAATTTTTCAACATTTAAAAAAAAAATCGGCAAGAGCCAGTTTTTTTTGACGAAATGTTCTGTAATGAGTTTATTTCTGCGGCTAAAATTTTAGTTATCCTTCTACCCTGGAGTTTCTGGTAGAAATTTTTTTGCTGTCATAATCCGTAGTGTATATAAAAATCCGTCGAAAATCACACGGTCCACGTTCACTAACTCAAAACTAGAACTATACTTTGCCCAGATTCAACTGAGACTCAAAAAATAACTAAGTATCAAGCAAATTCAAGGATAAAATCGAAAAATTAACAAGCCTAGAAGTGCAGATCTGTAGAAAAATAAACAATAATTTTACAAAGAGAAGCGATTTCTGATTTTTGTCCTTTATTTTTAAAACTAATATACTTTGTGGGGTGATCAGGTGATTGAAACAGTACTTGCGTTGTGGCGTATTTATTTTGATGTTGTCGGTACGGCAGATGAAAGAAGAGGCCTGGAATTTGTGAAATTGAATTGAAAAGAAAGGTCGGTAGAAAACGGTGGAAACGGTTTTGTCTAAAGGGCTCTTGGAAGGTATTTAGAAATCTGGGAAAGGATAAGTATTACTGAGAAGGGTGAACAAAAGATAGGTTTTACGACATGCAGGTGGACGAAGAGAAAGTTTCGGGGTAATACTGGGAAGTAATTATATACAGATTATATACAAATATACAAATGCTATACAATTTTGTGGGACTTGCCAGCCCCTACAACTTATTGTTTGATATTTTTATTGGTGTAATTCTCAGTACAGAGAAAAATTCGTTAAAATTAATATAGTCCATGTTCACTTATTCAGAACCGGAACCATAACACTCCTAAAATGCCTGAAATAGAGCTGTTTTAGTGTTTTAAATTGGCCAAAAAAATCTCATTCTTGTGTTAAATTTATTTTAATCTTTTCAAATAAGTGACACCGTTTTAGTGAATTTTTAACTAAATATGCCGAATGTTTAATCTCCTTTGAAATGAATAAGTAATTGACATATCGAAACTTACGGACACAAAATACCAGAATAAAAATATAATTAAAAAAAAGAAACTTGAGTTGTTTTTCTTTTTAACAATGCCGAACTTCAGATTTTAATTTTTCAACATTTTCAAAAAATTCAGAAAAACCTTTTTTTTTTTATTTATCTATAGTTCGATTTCTGATATAGCGAATATTGACTAAAGATCTGTAGAAGCATAAACAATAATTTCACAAAGAGTTACCATTTTTTATTTTTCTCTTTTATTTTTAAAGCGAATATACTTATTGTTTGATGTTTTTATTGCTTAATCCTCAATACAGAGAAAAATTCGTTAAAAGCAATATAGTCCATGTCCACGTATTCAAAACCGGAACTATAACTCGCCCAAAATGCCTGAAATAGTGCTATTTTAGTGTTTTAAATTGTGCAAAAAATCTCAATATTTGAGTAATTGAGTCCATCGGACGAATTGCCACTTTTATGTTTTCACGACGTTTCATGGCCCCTACAGTATATAGAGATTTCTTTCAACAACAGAATAGTTAAATATATTTTTAGTTCTTGTTAGGAAAACAGGACTTCGTATATTATGAAAAAATAGACAAAGTATAAGCCCCGCCCACCCACCCCTTCTCAATTGTGATGAATGGTTTATTCATCGTGAGCTGAAGGGCGGAGTTTAGTTCCAAAATTCTCATTTCTCTACAACCATTTAGTATATGAAACTTATCACAGTTGAGATTGGGGCGGGTGGGTGGGGCTTAATCTTTGTTTTGTTTTTTCTTTAATATATAGTTGTTTTTTTTTTTCAATAACAGGATAGTTAAATATATTTTCAGTTCTTGTTGGGAAAACAGGACTTCGTATATTAAGAAAAAATGGACAAAATATAAACCCCGCCCACCCACCCCTTTTCGATTGTGATGAATGTTTTATTCATCGTGAGCTGAAGGGCGGAGTTTAGTTCCAAAATTCTCATTTCTCTACAAGAATTTAGCATATGAAACTTATCAGAATTGAGATTGGGGCGGGTGGGTGGGGCTTAATCTTTGTTGTTTTTTTTTTAATATATGTAGTTTTCTTTCAAAAAATAGAATAGTTAAATATATTTTCAGTTCTTGTTGGGAAAAGAAGACTTCATATATTAAGCTAAAATGGACTAATATAAGCCCCGCCCACCCACCCATTCCCCATTGTGACGAATGCTTTATTCATTGTGAGCTGAAGGGCGGAGTTTAATTGCAAAATCCTCATTTCTGTACAAGAAATTATCAAATGAAACTCCTCACAGTTGATTGGGGCGGGTGGGTGGGGCTTAATCTTTGTTGTTTTTTTTTTAATATATGCAGTGTTCTTTCACAAAATAGAATAGTTAAATATATTTTCAGTTCTTGTTGGGAAAACAGGACTTCGAACATTTAGAAAAAATGGACAAAATATAAACCCCGCCCACCCACCCCTTCTCGATTGTGATGAATGTTTTATTCATCGTGAGCTGAAGGGCGGAGTTTATTTGCAAAATCCTCATTTCTCTGCAAGAAATTATCAAATGAAACTCGATCACAGTCGAGATTGGGGCGGGTGGGTGGGGCTTAATCTTTGTTGTTTTTTTTTTAATATATGCAGTGTTCTTTCACAAAATAGAATAGTTAAATATATTTTCAGTTCTTGTTGGGAAAACAGGACTTCGAACATTTAGAAAAAATGGACAAAATATAAACCCCGCCCACCCACCCCTTCTCGATTGTGATGAATGTTTTATTCATCGTGAGCTGAAGGGCGGAGTTTATTTGCAAAATCCTCATTTCTCTGCAAGAAATTATCAAATGAAACTCGATCACAGTCGAGATTGGGGCGGGTGGGTGGGGCTTAATCTTGTTGTTTTTTTTTTAATATATGCAGTTTTCTTTCAAAAAATAGAATAGTTGAATATATTTTCAGTTCTTGTTGGGAAAACAGGACTTCGTATATTATGAAAAAATGGACAAAATATAAGCCCCGCCCACCCACCCCTTCTCGATTGTGATGAATGTTTTATTCATCGTGAGCTGAAGGGCGGAATTTAGTTGCAAAATTCTCATTTCTCTACAAAAATTTAGCATATGAAACTTATCACAGTTGAGATTGGGGCGGGTGGGTGGGGCTTAATCTTTGTTGTTTTTTTTTTAATATGTGCAGTTTTCTTTCAAAAAACAGAATAGTTAAATATATTTTCAGTTCTTGTTGGGAAAACAGGACTTCGTATATTAAGAAAAAATGGACAAAATATAAACCCCGCCCACCCACCCCTTCTCGATTGTGATGAATGTTTTATTCATCGTGAGCTGAAGGGCGGAGTTTAGTTCCAAAATTCTCATTTCTCTACAAGAATTTAGCATATGAAACTTATCACAGTTGAGATTGGGGCGGGTGGGTGGGGCTTAATCTTTTTTGTTTTTTTTTAATATATGTAGTTTCTTTTCAAAAAATAGAAAAGTTAAATATATTTTCAGTTCTTGTTGGGAAAACAGGACTTCGTATATTAAGAAAAAATGGACAAAATATAAACTCCGCCCACCCACCCCTTCTCGATTGTGATGAATGTTTTATTCATCGTGAGCTGAAAGGCGGAGTTTAGTTCCAAAATTCTCATTTCTCTACAAGAATTTCGCATATGAAACTTATCACAGTTGAGATTGGGGCGGGTGGGTGGGGCTTAATCTCTTTTGTTGTTTTTTTTAATATGTGCAGTTTTCTTTCAAAAAACAGAATAGTTAAATATATTTTCAGTTCTTGTTGGGAAAACAGGACTTCGAATATAAGAAAAAATGGACAAAATATAAACCCCGCCCACCCACCCATTCTCAATTGTGATGAATGTTTTATTCATTGTGAGTTGGAGGGTGGATTTTAATTGCAAAATCCTCCATTTCTCTACAAGAAATTATCAAATGAAACTCATCACAATTGAGATTGGGGTGGGTGGGTGGGGCCTAATCTTTGTTTTTTTTTTTATGTACGTAGTTTTCTTTCAACAATTTTTTGGCGCAAAGAACAAGAGATATAATAAAAAACATAAAGTCAATCTATTATTCAATAATTTTGGACTGTACTAATATAAGTCACCTAGAATAACTTGTACTTTTCGTTTTTCTTGGAAAACTGAAGAAATGAAAAACTAAAAATATAAACACAAAGTATTGAAATAAAAATATATTAAAAAAAACAATGTCGAACAGCTTCCGATTTCAATTTTTCAAGATTTTTAAAAAATTGACTATAGTTCGGGTTTTGAAATGCTGAATATTGGCTAAATTTTCTGTAATAGGCTAATTTCCACAGTTAGAATTTTAGTTTTCCGTCCACCCTGGAGTCTCTGGTAGAATTTTTATTGCTATGATAATCCGTAGTGACTAGAAAAATCCATCAAAAATCACAGGATTCACGTTCATTAATTCAAAACCAGAACTATACCTCGCCCTAATCCCACTGAAATTTTCAAGAAATGTCTGTCCACCAAAAAACCCAAGTACCGAGAAAGTTGGTGCTAAATTAAATTTTTCGAAAATGTATCTTCATATTCTAAGAAGGTTTCAGTAGAAATGAAATTTAATAAATTTTAAAGTGGATGTAATGGAGACTTTTATCGAACAGAATATCGAGACGAGGGTATGTCGTCAGAAGCTGGTTGAAGGGGAAACCTTGAAAAATTATAATGCTATTTAAATAATTGAAACCGATATAAATGATGTACGGGCAGAGTGGGGATTCGCAGCGGAAGTATCGATTGGCGAAGCCATTGGTAGTCCGTCTGCTAAAAAACGGATCGATGTTTGCTATAATTCTCGAATTAAAAATAGTTTTCAACAATAAAAACGTTACTTGATGAATCTGGGGACATTTTGATTAATTCCAAGCCTCCATTTTTAAAAATGGCGCATCTATGATTTAGTTAATCTTGACAAATCGTCGTTTTTCCTTCCAGGTCTGCAACGAAACGAAAATCCTCGAGGTCCACATCGACAAAGGCATGAAGGACGGCCAGAAGATCTTCTTCCGCGGCGAGGGCGACCAGCAGCCCGACATCGAGCCCGGCGACGTCATCATAATACTCCAAGAGAAGCGCCACGAGGTATACCAGCGCAGCGGCGACGACTTACTCCTCACCCGCACCATCAGCCTCACCGAGGCCCTCTGCGGCTTCAACTTCATCCTGAAGCAGCTCGACGGGCGCGACCTCCTCGTCAAGCACCCCCCCGGCGAGGTGGTGAAGCCGGGCGACCTCAAGGCCGTCATGGGCGAGGGCATGCCCCTGTACAAGAACCCCTTCGAGAAGGGCAACCTCTACATCACGTTCGAGATCACATTCCCCGAGAACAACTTCGCCGACGAGGAGGCGCTCAGAGGGCTGGAGGGCATGCTGCCGCCGCGGCCGGCCTTCGTCCTGCCGGAGGGCGACAACGTGGAGGAGGTGGAGCTGCACCAGTTCGACGCGGCGAGCGACAAGGGGGCGCACGGGAGCAGGGAGGCGTACGCGAGCGACGACGAGGACCACATGCACGGGCCGGGCATCCAGTGCGCACACCAGTAGGCGGCGGCGGGGGCGGTTGCTCTGCTGCTTTCTAAATAAGGATTTACATTTGTAGATGAATTATCCGTTAAAAATCCTTTTCTTTGTCGTCTGTATATTTTTTATTTATTGAAGTTTTTTTTTTTATTTTTATTTTTGCGTTGGCGCAGTCGGTCGGATTTTTGTGATCGGCGGTATTAAACTGGCAGTGATTCTTGGTCGGAGTTTTGTGATTCGGTTGCAAAACGGGGAGGGGGCGACGAGGTCGCGCTGTCTTGTCTAGGGCTTAGACACTCGGGTCTACACGAGATTTATTATTAATTGTGGCGCAATTCTCGGAATGAATCCTTTTCACAAATTCGCTTACGAAGTTCGATTTTGATTTTTTTTTTCTAGAAATTACCGAAATTTTTATGTACACTACACTTAACAGAGTACAGACTGTTAACATTTGTACATGTATTAATGAAAATGTTAATAAATAATTATGTAACTCCTCTTAAAATCGGGTTTTTATTACCCCTTTGTCTTCACCTTTGCATTTTAACATTAATCCATTTACTTTTAAATGAAAAGTATTGTTTTCTCTTTCTATACGAATTTATCTGACCTGTTGGGATTATTATCCCTGGTTCGTCCCCACAGAAAGAAAATTAACCTAGTACTTGCTAAGATAAGACAGATTTTGGCACATAATATACCTTCCAAGAAAACAGAGGGTGGGTGGGCGGGGCTAGTATTTTATAACATAAGACTAATTTTGGCACTTTTGATACTTTCGACTATTTTCAAAAATTAGTTGAAGACATTTTCTTATAGATTTCAATATCCAGAAGTAATTTTTGGCTTCGTTTCTTCGGAAATTCCTAGCGTTTTTCCAAAACCGCTAATTGAAACGTAGCAATTTTTATAGTCTCGTCAAAATAACTGTATAAAAATTTTGCAAATAAAAGAGGAAATTATTATTAATTTTTGTTTTACAAAAAGCAATTCTTTTAAGAATGTTATTATAACAGAAAGTGGTTCAAAATATAAAAAAAGTGCTATTTCAGTTATAATTTTAAATCGGGCAATTTGTTGATCAAATTTGGGTTGGCAGCAATTTGACACTGTTGACAGTTATTTATTATTAAAATATTTCTGTTTGTTAGTAACTAGTTCAATATAATTGTATTGCGAAAAAATGTATCTATTGAAATGTATGTGGACAATAAGAAAATACAAACTAAACGTCAGCAGGTAAGAACTATAAATCACATTACTTACTTTTTAGAATCGAATACATTGTCCACAGCGTGGACGCTTTCATCAGTTCCGATTTAATTTGGAAATAAGCCAAGAGCGCGTCTCCGAAAATTCGCTTAATAATATTTCATTTTCTTCGCACCACTTGATAAATTTTTGGTATTCCGCTTCATATTGCTTTATCTGCAATTTTTTCTATATGTACAGGAATTTCCATTTCTTAAATTCAACTTTGAATTTCAAACTCGAGCACTGACAAATTGACAGATTGGTATTTGACGTATTTAGTGATAAATTCAATACCAACATAATTTCGGCTTAGTAATATTTACTCGTTTAGCGATTGAAAAATGTTTTTTCAAAAATGCAGCGCAAAAAATATTGTATGTTACTCGTGTGAAAACTCCATAGCATTACTCACTTACATACAGCATGAGACACAGTCGAGCGCAATATTCTATACGATTAGCGATTTTTTTTTACTTTTTTTTTCACATTCTAAATTCTATTAGTTTCCACTCCCACTAGACAGAAGAACATTATAAGCCCCGCCCACCCACCCTGCCGCCATTTCAGTGAATGATTTTATCCCGTCAGAATTAAATCAATGATCCATTTTTCAACAATTTTCGAAAATTAGTTGAAGACATATCATGCATGATTCCGACCGTGGAAACTTCCGAAATTATTAGTTGAAGATATTTTCTTGTAGATTTCGATATCCAGAAGTCAATTTTGGCGCCGTTTCTTTGAAAATTTCTACCGTTTTTCAAAATAGCCAATTGAAATATATTTAGCAATTTTTACAGTTGCGTCAAACATGTTTCTTCCAATTTCAGTCAAATTTTGACATTTTCGAAACTTAACTAAACACATTTTCTGGTAGATTTCGAGCTCTAGAACTCGCTTCCGGCATCGTTTCGTTAATAAGTGCAGCCGTTTTTCCAGAATGGTCCGTCGAAATATCGAAATTTTTAGAAATTCTCAAAAATTCGCATTTCATAGCGATTCTTTCGAAAATGTTACCCCGTGACCATCGACACCCTATATTTTTGTAATCAGCATGTCGAGATCTACGTCCCTGAATTTTTTCGCAATTTTTAGACAACTTTTTTAAAAGTGAAATTTTTCCAACGGTCCCCCTTTCTTCAAATTTCGGCCAAATTTTGACATTTTCGAAACTTAACTAAATACATTTTCTGGTAGATTTCGAGCTCTAGAACTCGCTTCCGGCATCGTTTCGTTAATAAGTGCAGCCGTTTTTCCAGAATGGTCCGTCGAAATATCGAAATTTTTAGAAATTCTCAAAAATTCGCATTTCATAGCGATTCTTTCGAAAATGTTGCTCCCTGACCATCGACACCCCATATTTTTGTAATCAGCATGTCGAGACCTACGTCCTTGAATTTTTTCGCAATTTTTAGACAACTTTTTTAAAAGTGAAATTTTTCCAATGGTCCCCCCTTCTTCAAATTTCGGCCAAATTTTGACATTTTCGAAACTTAACTAAATGCATTTTCTGGTAGATTTCGAGCTCTAAAACTCGCTTCCGGCATCGTTTCTTTCATAAGTGCAGCCGTTTTTCCAGAATAGTCCGTTGAAATATCGAAATTTTTAGAAATTTTCAAAAATTCGCATTTCATAGCGATTCTTTCGAAAATGTTGCTCCCTGACCATCGACACCCTATATTTTTGTAATCAGCATGTCGAGATCTACGTCCCTGAATTTTTTCGCAATTTTTAGACAACTTTTTTAAAAGTGAAATTTTTCCAACGGTCCCCCCTTCTTCAAATTTCGGCCAAATTTTGACATTTTCGAAACTTAACTAAATACATTTTCTAGTAGATTTCGAGCTCCAGAACTCGCTTCCGGCATCGTTTCTTTGATAAGTTCAGCCGTTTTTCCAGAATAGTCCGTTGAAATATCGAAATTTTTAGAAATTCTCAAAAATTCGCATTTCACGGCGATTCTTTCGAAAATGTTGCCCCGCGATCATCAACACGCTATATTTTTGGAATCAGCGTGTCGAGATCTACGTCCCTGAATTTTTTCGCAATTTTTAGACGACTTTTTTAAAAGTGAAATTTTTCCAACGGTCCCCCCTTCTTCAAATTTCGGCCAAATTTTGACATTTTCGAAACTTAACTAAATACATTTTCTGGTAGATTTCGAGCTCTAGAACTCGCTTCCAGCATCGTTTCTTTGATAACTGCAACCGTTTTTCCGGAATCGTCCGTTGAAAAATCGAAATTTTTAGAAATTCTCAAAAATTCGCATTTCATAGCGATTCTTTCGAAAATGTTGCTCCCTGACCATCGACACCCTATATTTTTGTAATCGGCATGTCGAGATCTACGTCCCTGAATTTTTTCGCGATTTTTAGACAACTTTTTTAAAAGTGAAATTTTTCCAGTGGTCCCCCCTTCTTCAAATTTCGGCCAAATTTTGACATTTTCGAAACTTAACTAAGTGCATTTTCTGGTAGATTTCGAGCTCTAGAACTCACTTCCGGCATCGTTTCTTTGATAAGTGCAGCCGTTTTTCCAGAATAGTCCGTCGAAATATCGAAATTTTTAGAAATTCTCAAAAATTCGCATTTCATAGCGATTCTTTCGAAAATGTTGCTCCCTGACCATCGACACCCTATATTTTTGTAATCGGCATGTCGAGATCTACGTCCCTGAATTTTTTCGCGATTTTTAGACAACTTTTTTAAAAGTGAAATTTTTCCAATGGTCCCCCCTTCTTCAAATTTCGGCCAAATTTTGACATTTTCGAAACTTAACTAAATACATTTTCTAGTAGATTTCGAGCTCCAGAACTCGCTTCCGGCATCGTTTCTTTGATAAGTTCAGCCGTTTTTCCAGAATAGTCCGTTGAAATATCGAAATTTTTTGAAATTCTCAAAAATTCGCATTTCATAGCGATTCTTTCGAAAATGTTGCTCTCTGACCATCGACATCCTATATTTTTGTAATCGGCATGTCGAGATCTACGTCCCTGAATTTTTTCGCAATTTTTAGACAACCTTTTTAAAAGTGAAATTTTTCCAATGGTCCCCCCTACTTCAAATTTCGGCCAAATTTTGACATTTTCGAAACTTAACTAAGTGCATTTTCTGGTAGATTTCGAGCTCTAGAACTCACTTCCGGCATCGTTTCTTTGATAAGTGCAGCCGTTTTTCCAGAATAGTCCGTTGAAATATCGAAATTTTTAGAAATTCTCAAAAATTCGCATTTCATAGCGATTCTTTCGAAAATGTTGCCCCGTGACCATTAACACGCTATATTTTTGGGATTAGCACGTCCGGATATACATCCCTGAATTTTTTCACAATTTTTAGACAACTATTTAAAAAATAAAATTTTCCACTATTTTTGGCGATTTTCGAAATTTAACTAAATACTTTTTTTGTAGATTTCGGGCCGCAGAAGGCACTTCCGGTCTCATTTCTTCGATAACTTCAACTTTTTTTCTTGTATTAGTTAATTAATTTAGTGCATTGAAAAATCGCAATTTTTAAAAATTTCAAAAAATTAAATACAACACGTGTAAAAAGAAGATTTTGCGTTATTTTTTCAAGTTCGGGTTAAAGAGACATAATAGACTTCAACTAGCCTTTGTTCGGATTATAGAGGTTAAATTATACTTGCTAAGATAAGATTGATTTTAGCAGATAACATACCCTCAAGAAAATAGAGGGTGGGTGGGCGGGGCTAGTATTTGGTAAGACAATACTGATTTTGGCACTTTTGATATTTTTCAACTATTTTCGAAAATTAGTTAAGACAGTTTCTTGCAGATTTCGACATCCAGAAGTCATTTTTGGTTTCGTGTCTTCGAAAATTCCTACCGTTTTTCAAAAATCGCTAATTCAAATTTAGCAATTTTACAGTTTCGTCAAAATAGGTATAAAAAGTTTATACATAAAAAAGGAAATTGTTGTTAATTTTTATTACACAAAATAGAATTGTTTTAAGAATGTACCTTCTAAGAAAATAGAGGGTGGGTGGGCGGGGCTAGTTTTTGATAAGAAAACACTGATACTATTTTTACTGAGTAATGAATTAATCTAGGGTGCAAATTTAATATTACAGCCACTGTGTTTTTAACATGCATGTGCTGATGCTTTTTCAATTGTTTTCAGGCAGATTAGGATAAAATTTATGGTTGGTTTAGTTGTTATTCAACTCACGTCGAACATACTTAAGTATTTCACTAAAAAAAAGTAATGCTTACCGTCGGCTGTTACGTGAACGTTTTCATAATCTGAGGTTAAGAATACCTTCCAACAAAACAAGTATTGTGATTTTATTTAAAATTATCGCAAATTATTTACATGTTTGTAAAAACTGAAAGGCAACGCTATAAAAACTGTACAAGAAATAATTCGGAATAATACATGCGAAAAAAGTCGTTTTACACATCCTTCTAGAATCTAACAATAACACTAATTTTAAAAAGCATTATGCTACAAATTGAAATCACACAAAATCCGATTTTCCAGTGACGTGTCGGCGACAAAAAACGAATTTATTGCACTAGAAACAACGTTTATAAAACTTTAGCAAAAATCGAAAAGTATACTCCAATATACCTGAGGTAGTACATTTTAGTTCGTGACAAATAAAAAATACATCGAAATGACATCAAGCTACAAATTTTTTATTCATTTTTTATCAAAACGCTGGAAGACTTCTAAAAAACAAAAACAAACGTCTGAGCGAGCACAATAATAAATAAATAAACAAAACATATGTATAAAACCAAGTGTATGATATGTAGCGGACTAAAATAATTTATACATAAAAAAATAAAGTAGATCGGTGACGAATCAGAGTATTTTTTCATTCACATGTACAAGCATAAGTAAAATAGTCCTCACTATGTCGTAAGTTACAATATAAATTTTAAAACTAACTTTAAAAATCACTATCAACCAAGTCTTCTTTGTTACATGTTTAATTACCACAGTACAATTTCACGTCCGTTTGTTGGCAACAATGCTCCTGGAGCTTTATCGTTCCACGACTATGAAACAAATTAGTACGGAATTCGCTGCTACTGCACAAGCAACCGAAAAATACGAGATTCAAAAAATCAAATATACAACACAAAAAATACCTCGGAATTCAGGGAAACCCTCCCTGCATATAAATATAATATATAATTACCCCAAAAAAACCCAATAAATAAACCAATTATTATTAACAATAATTTCACCCCTCCCACGTAACATTTAAACTGAAATCGCAGACCGCCATGGAATATGACGCCGTCTCTATTGACACTTGTTCTGTCAACAACAATGTTATTTTAAGGTTATGTTTCAAGCGCCAAGCACAAAAAAGCGCAATACCCTTCTTTCCGACCCCCATCCCTCGCCTCATTGTTACCAACAAACGCCCCTCATAAGACAACCTACCGTATGAAACACGTACGGCACAATTTATTCGGTCCGATGCAGTCGTCGTGGCAGAACGCCCCGCACTTTTTACACACCACCATCGCCTTCAGACTGCACGCGCAATTGTCCGCCGCCCGCTTCTGCTGCTGCATGACCGCCCCCTGCATCGCCGCCCCCGGATGGTCGACCATCACGTTCTCGCCGCCGATGATCGTGTAGTTGTGCATCTGGTTCTCGAGGCTGACGTCGCCGTAGACCACGCCCGAGGGCAGCCGCTGCCGCCGGGTCACCGCCTGCGTGCCGGGGTTCGGGCACTGGACGATGAAGTCGTTGGACTGGGGAGGCGGCGGCGGGGGCGGCGCTTGCTGCTGTTGGGGCTGGAGGCCGCCGGCGTGGTCGACGTCGACGCTGGCGGGGCGGCCGCGACCGCCGACCGAGAGGATCTGGCCGCCGCCGGTGTTGATGGCGGCGGGCAGCTGCTGCTGGTGGGACGGCGGCGCGCTGGATGAGCGCGGGATGTTGGGGTGGTGGTCGCCGACGCCGGCGCGCTGGACGAGGATGTACTGGCCGACGGCGCCCATGGGGTTGGGGGCTTCAACCACCTGGGGGTGGAGCGAAAATTTTTTAGTAAAATACAACTAATTGTACTTTCTACGATCATTAAAGTATCTACGATTTAGAATGTTCGTTTGCATGCAAGTAATGGAAAAAGTAACACTTTTGGCACGGGTTGCATACATTTTTTTCTATGATTATATAAAAAAAATAAGATTTGTGATCCCTCGTCAAATTTTTTGTTTTCAAATATTACTTCCTTGGCTTACGCTCGGGAAAGAAAAATTGAAAAAGTAAAAAATCAAAAATTCGAAACAAAATCGAAAAATTCAGAAAATGAACAATTTAAAAACAGAAAAATTCAAGAACCGAAATATTGAAAAATCAAAAACCTGAAAAATCCAGAAATGGGAAAATAAAAAAAATCGAAGAAAATTTGAAGAATCCAAAAACTGAAACATGAAAAATTCGAAAAATTTAAACAAAAAATTCGACAATTTTAAAACAGAAAAATCCCAAAAGTGAAAAAAATCAAAAGATTTATTAATCGAGCAATCGGGAAACCGAAAATTTAGAAGAGGAAAAAATTTAAAAATCGAAAAATTGAATTGAAAAATCGTGAAAGAGAGAAGACGAAAAATCAAGAAAATAAAAAAATTGAAAGATCGAAAAATCGGGAAGTGGGAAAATGAAAAAATCGAAGAAAATTTGAAGAATCGAACAATTGAAAAATCCCAAAACTGAAACATTAAAAATTCGAATAATTTAAACAGAAAATTGGTAAAATTTAAAACAAAAAAATCGAAACGGAAAACTGAAAAATTTAAAAACCGAAAAATTGAAATATCGAAAAATAAAAAAAAAAATAAAATTGCAAGATTGAAATATAGAAAAATCCAGAAGTGGGAAAACAAAAAATCAAAGAAATTTTGAAGAATTAGAAAATCCCAAAAGTGAAACAATAAAAAGACCAAGCATGGAAAAACTTAAAATTTAAGATTTCGAAAAATCTAAAATGTAAAAAACCGAAATATTGAAAAATCAAAAACCTGAAAAATTGAAAAATCCAGAAATGGGAAAATCAAAAACATCCAAGAAAATTTGAAGAATCCAAAAACTGAAAAATCCAAAAGTGAAGCATTAAAAATTCGAAAAATTTAAAGAAAAAAATCGACAATCTTAAAACAGAAAAATCCCAAAAGTGAAACATCGAAAAATAAATTGAAAAATAGAAGAAAAATTAAAATATTGCAAAAATTGAGAAATCGAAACACGAAAAAACAGAACATTTTTTCAACGTGAAAAAATTAAGAATCAAAATACTGAAAACCGAAAACTAAAATTTCGAAAAGTTGGTAAATTGAAAAATTGAAAAGTTGAAAAATCGTCAAGTTGAAAAATAGAAAAATTAAAAACCCGAAAAAGCGATTGATGGAGAAATCGAAAATTAAAAAAATTGTAAGATTTATTAGTCGAGTAATCGGGAAACCGAAAATTTAGAAGAGGAAAAAATTTAAAAATCGAAAAATTGAATTGAAAAATCGTGAAAGAGAGAAGACGAAAAATCAAGAAAATAAAAAAATTGAAAGATCGAAAAATCGCGAAGTGGGAAAATGAAAAAATCGAAGAAAATTTGAAGAATCGAACAATTGAAAAATTCCAAAACTGAAACAAAATTCGAAATGGAAAACAGAAAAATTGAAGAATTTGTAAATTCCCAGAAGGGAAACTAAAAAAATTGTGAAAACGAAAAATTTAAAAACCGAAAAACCAAAAAAATTTAAAATTGCAAGATTGAAATATAGAAAAATCGGAAAATCGAGTAATCAAAACATCGAAAAATCAAAAACCTGAAAAATCGAAAAATTCAGAAATGGGAAAACAAAAAATCAAAGAAAATTTGAAGAATCGAAAAATCCCAAAAGTGAAACAATAAAAATTCGAAAAATTGAAAGTAAAAATTGAAAATTCGAAAAGAAAAGTCGCAAAATTGAAAAATCGAAAGAACAAGAAAGATCAAGCATGGAAAAATTTATAAATGTAAAAAACCGAAAAATTAAAATATCGGAAAAATTGAGAAATCAAAACATGACAAAATAAAAAATTGAAAAATCGAAAATTCGAAAAATCTTCAACTTGCAAAAATATAGAAATTGAGAAAGTTGAAAAATCTAAACTTTGAGAAATCGAAAATAAAAAATAATATCGGGAAATCAAAATTTTGAGCATCGAAAAATCCAAAAGTCCAAAAATCTAAAAACCCGAAATTTGAAAAATCGAAAACTTTCAAACGGAAAAAATAGGAAAACTGATAAATCGGAAAATGAAATATGGAAAATTTGAAAAATCGAGAAACTGAAGGAGCGAAAAAAGAAGAAATATGGAAAAAATGATGAATCCAAAAATTCGAAGATTGTCAATATGGAAAATCGAAAAAATCAGCATTTTAAGAAATTGAAAACTCAAAATCCTGAAAAGTCGAAAATCGAAAAATCGCATAACTGTAATGTCGGAAAATTGAGAAATCGGAAAATAAAAATTATCGAGAAATCGAAAATTTGAAAAAGCGAGAATCCGAGAAATTGAAAAATAAAAAATTTCAAAAATCGAAAAATTGAAAAACCAAAAAATCTAAAACCGAAAGAACGAGAATTCAAAACATAAACATTGAAGAAATCTAAAATTTTAAAATTCGAAAAATTAAAATAGCAGAAATTGAAAAATCGTAAATTTGAGGAATTTGTAAAATCGAGAATTTGAAAGAACCAAAAATTATGATCAAAAAACTGAAAAATCGAAGAAATGAAAAATTGAAAAATCGTAGAAGGGAAATATCGGAAAATTTAGAAATTCGAAGATTGAAAAAATGCAAAACTTTAAATTCGAAAAATTGAAAAATCAAAGATTTGAAAAACAGAATTCGAAAAATCTAAAAATAAAAAAAACACGAAAATTTAAATGTCCAAAAAATTGAAAAACGGAAAAATTGAAAAATCGATTAATCGAAAAATCGACAATATAGGAATGCTAAAAATAGAAAAATTTATAAATCGAGATATGAAAACATCGAAAAATCTAAAATTTAAAAAACCGAAAAATTGAAGAATTGAAAAACGGAAAATTGGCGAAATCGAAAAAGCGAGAAATGGGAAAATAAAAAAATCCGACAAAATTGGAAGAATCGAAAAATTAAAAAAATCCATCAAATATTTGAAAAATTTAAAATAGAAAAATCGAGAAATCGAAAAATCTAAAATTTTAAAAACTAAAAAATCGTGAAATCGAAACATCAAAAAAACGAAAAATTGAAAAAGTAAAGAATTGAAAAATTAAAAAGCCGAAAATCGAAATGAAAAATCGAAGAATTAGAAAAATCCCAAAACTGAAAAATTTTAAAAGCGAAAATCGGAGAATATAAAATTTTAAAAATCGAAAATTGAAAAATCGAAAGATCGAGAAATCAAAATATCAAAGTATGGAAAAATTTAAAAATTCGAAAAATCTAAACTATAAAAAAAAAGGAAAATTGAAATATCGCAAAACTGGAAAATTGAGAAAACGAAACATGAAAAAACAAAAATTGAAAAATCGGGAATCTGAAGGAAAGAAAAATCCTAAAATCGAAATATCGAAAAAATGATAAATCGAATAATCGAAAAATCGTGAATCCAAAAAGTGGAAAAATTGTCAAGACGAAAAATTGAAAACCGAAATTTAAAAAAATTGAAAAATAAAAAAAGAATTGACAAATTGATTGAAAATCGAGAAATCGAAAAGACGGTAAACGGAGAAAAAAGAAAATCAAAAAATTGAAGAATAAAAATGATTGAGAAATAGACAATTTGAAAAAACGAAAAACCAAAAAATTCTAAAACGGGAAAACCGTAAATTTAAAAATTTTAAAAACCGAAAAATATAAAACCGAAAGAACGAGAATTCAAAATATCAAAATCGAAGATTTAAAAAGCTGAGAATTCGAAAAATCTAATAACCCAAAAATTTAAAAATTGAAAAATCGAAGAATTGAAAGAATCTAAAAACCGAAAATTCAACATTGAAGAACTGAAAAATCGAAAAATTGAGAAGGTGAAACATTGAGAAATTTTGAAAACCAAAAAGTCTATTAATCGAGCAACGGAAAAATTGAAAAAGATTAGAAATACCAAAAACTGGAAAACAGAAACAGAAGAATTGAAAAACAAATCGAGAACTCTAAAATTTAAAAATTAGAACTAAAAAATCGAGAAGTCGAAAAATAGAGAAACGGGAAAATCAAAATATCGAAATAGTTAAAAGTAGAAAATTAGGAACGCCAAAAATTGAAGAAAACCTAAAATTGAAATGTCGGAAAATTGAGAAATCGATAAATAAAAAAATTGAAAAAATCATGAATTGAAACATCTTCGAGTCGAAAAACTGAAAATTAAAAAATTGAAAAGCCAAAAATTTGAAAAATCGAAGAACTGAAAAACTCAAAAATCGTGAAATCGAGAAGTCGAAAAATGAAAAAAGGAAAAATAAAAAATGTAAAAGTCATAAAACTGAATGAAATATCGGAAAATTGAGAAATCGAAAAACAAAAATTATTGAGAAATAGGAAATCTGAAATAACGAGAAACCGATAAATTCTAAAACAGAAAAACTGAAAATTTTAAAAATCGTGAAATCCAGAAGTCAAAAAATCAGAAAATGGGAAAATAAAAAAATTGTTAAAAATCGAAAGATCGATTAATCGAAAATTCGAAAACAAAATTTAGCAACACCAGAAACTGAAAAACCGAAAAATTAAATACAAAAAACTGAAAAATCGTGAAAACGAAAATTCGAAAAATTTCAAAGACGAAAAATCGAAAAACCGAAATTTAAAAAAATTGAAAAATCGAAGAAGAGAAAAATGAAAAAATTGAAATTTCGAAAAATTGAAAAATATTGAAACCGGAACAAAAAATTGAAAATTTGAAAAAGTAAAAAAATTGAAAATCGAAAAATTTGAAAAATCCCAAAACTGAAAAATTTTAACACCGAAAATCGAAGAATATAAAATTTTAAAAATCGAAAAATTGAAAAATCGAAAGATCGAAACTATAAAATAAAGAAAAATTAAAATATCGCAAAACTGAAAAATTGAGAAAACGAAACGAAAAAACAAAAATTGAAAAATCTAGAAATCGAAAAGTTGAAACATTCAAACAAGAAATTAAAAAAACGAAAACTTAGATAAAATTAACAATAAAAAACTCGAGAAGTCGAAAAATTGTCAAGACGAATAATCGAAATTTAAAAAAATTGAAAAATAGTAGAACTGAAATATCAGAAAATTGAGAAATTGAAAAATAAAAATGATCAAGAAATAGAAAATTCGAAAAAACGAGAAACCCAAAAATTCTAAAACGGGAAAATCGAAAAATTAATAATTTTAAAAACCGAAAAATATAAAACCGAAAGAATTCAAAACATCAAACATTCAAGAAATTTAAAATTTTAAAATTCGAAAAACTGAAAAATCGCAGATTTAAAATCCGAGAATTCGAAAAATCTAAAAACCAAAAATTTAAAAGGTAAAAAATGGAAAAATTGAAAAATCGAGAAATTGAAAAGTCGAAAAATTGTCAAGTCGAAAAATGAACATTTAAAAAATTGAAGAATTGAAGAACTGAAAAATCGAAAAATTGGGAAGCTGAAACATTGAGAAATGGGAAAACCAACAATTATTAATCCAGAAATGGAAATATTGAAAATTTAGAAATGTCAAAAATTGGAAAACAGAAAGAGAAGAACTGAAAAATCGGGAAGTCGAAAGTAGAGAATACCTAGGTAAAAGTCGAAAATTTAGGAACGCCAAAAATTGAAAAATCGAAAAATCATGGAACATTTCAGAGCATTCGGCTTTGCAATTTCAATGTTAAACTACAAAATATTGCTATACAAATTTGAATTAGGAAATAAAAAAGTCAAATCAGCAGTAGCGAGTCAAACTCCGCCTGCACGTTATGACAAAAGTGTTACTTTTGAACGCAGATTGCCCGAAAGCTTTTTTCTATGATCATCTAATACGATCTTGGACTTTGATTAGTAGAAAACAGAGAAGCGTCTAACGGAGATGCGTATTAGTAGTCATTTTTACTCACTCACTTCAGGACTTAAGGCAGGGGCTTGTGGCAGTACTGCCATCGTCACGGGGATTCCCTGCCCCGAGGTGAACACGTGTCTGACCACGACGGGCGGACTCGGCTGCCTCTGCTGTTGGTACGGCACCGACCTCGCCTTCTGCCCCACGTTCTTCACCCCATTGTTTTGCACCATCTGGAAATTACCGCTAGCCGGCAACGGCGGCGTGAACGTCTTCGCCGAGCCTCTGGACGACGTCACCGAACTGTATTGCGTCTGTCTGTTGTTCTCGTTCTTCTTCACCGTGTTGTTAACCGCGGCGGCGGCTAGCAGCGACGGCGGCGGTTTCAGCTGACATCTACCAACAAAGCTAAGCTTAAGAGTTTAGAAAATCAAAAAATGTGTATCACCTCAACTGATCCCGGTTCGGACTGTTCTGGATGACCGCCTGGCAGATCTGGTAACTTCGCTCCAGATTGACAGCCCCCGGGGGCGGCTTGTTGCTGCCCCGGTTCCTGTTCGAGCCTCCGCTTTGCGAGCTCTTCGGCTTGGCCTTCGTGTGCGCCGGCACCGCCCGAATCGGCTGGCTCGTGCTCAGCGCCAGGTACGGCAGCGCGCTCGAGCTCTGGACCATCCCCGGCCTGGGGAGCGTCGGGACGCACTGGCTCTCGTTGACGGGATTCACTAGAGATCCGGTGCTCACCACCGACGGCAGACACACGATCGTCGTCGGGGGGATCACCGTCGTCACGGTCTTGCTCACTGATGGCGTCACCGTCGAGTTGGCGCCGTTGCTCGAACTCACCGTGCTCGTGATCAGGCTGTCGTTGCTGATGATCTCGGGCGTCAAGGTCACCTCCAGCTCCAGCTTAACCTGTTATTGTCATTAATGTAGCTTTATCGCATGAAAATTTGTTAGATGCGTTATTATTAAGTAAGTACAGGCTACTTCTGATACTTAAAATGGAAATAGACAATTTAATAAAAGTTATGTAATACATATTATGTAATTTGAGTACTTAATTCTTTGAGGACTATACTCTAAAATTATTTTTAACTATACAGAGTGTTATGTTTTTAAGACGTAACACTCAACTTAGCTTTTTTAATGAAATACCCTAATCATAATTTATTTTTGAAATTCCAGAACATATTTTAAATATTACTACAATCTTACTCTATTTTTTTGTTCTCATTCTTCTAATATGTCGATGTGTCTCTTAAAAAAGTAAAAATCGCAGTAACAAAAAACAATTAGATGCAGTAATAATAAAATTAGTCCTAGTCTATTTCGCCAGATCTTCCCTCGCCCCTGAAGTACAGTCAAACAAATCCCAGTTCTTTGGAAGATTATAAATTTGTCTTTTTTTTTTGTTTCTTCAGTCTTCGATTTGAGATTTTTCAAGTTAAAATTTTTCAGTTATCCAATTTTCCAACTTTTGAATTTGTTCAATTTTTAGACTTACAGTTCTTGAGTTTTCAATTTTTCGATTCCTTAATTTTTTATTTCTTCAAATTTTCGATTTGCAATTTTTCGGTTCGGCTTTTTATTTTCTTTATTTTACAATTTTTCGTTTGTTTTTTCAATTTTACAATGTGTAAATTCTTAGAGTTTTCATTTTTAAATGTTTCAGTTTTTCGATTTCCAACTTTTGGATATTTCAATTTTTAGATTTTGTAATTTTTCCATTCGGTTTTCTATTTTCTTTATTTTTTGTTTTTTCAATTAAAATTTGATAAATTTTTCTTTTCTCAATTTTACGATTCCTAACTTTTCATTCATTTTTGCATGTTTTGGATATTTCAACTTATAGATTTTGCAATTTTTCAATCCTTAAATTTTTTTGTTTCCTCAATTTTAAGATGTTGTAACTCTTCGAATTTTAATTTTTAAATGTTTCAGTTTATCGATTTTGCAATTTTTGAGTATATCAATTATTAGATTTTGCAGTTTTTTAATGTCTTATTTTTTCAATTCTTCGGTTTTTCAATATTCGGATTTTATAATTTATTGCTTTTTCAATTCTAATTTTTTCAATTTTTCGATTTACAATTTTTCAATTCTTTAATTTTTTTTGTTTCGTCAATTATAGGATATGTAACTCTTCGAGTTTTCATTTTTACATTTAGCAAATTTTTCGATTTTACAATTTTTTATTTTGATCTGCAATTTTTTGTTTTTTCAATTCCAGTTTTTAAAATTTTTCCTTTCTACCATTTTTCGATTTGCAATTTTTCAATTCAATTTTTTTTATTTCTTGTATTTTATCTTATGTAACTCAACTCCACAAAAGTGGTCCGTTTTTGCGATTTTTCCGTTTTTTGATCATTAAATTTTTCGATTAATCGATTTATTAATTTCTGGATTTTCCGATATTTCAGTTTCATTTTTCAATTTTTCTTGTTTTCATTTTAAATAATATGTAATGATTTTTAAAATGCTTCCATTTTTCAATTTTACAATTTTACAATTTTTCCCTTGTACAATGATAGGGTTTTAAAGATTTTTCATTTATTCGATCTTTCAATTTTACGATTCTTCAATTTTTCACTTGTTCGAATTTTCGATTGGCAATTTTTCGCTTCGGTTTTTTATTTTCTTTAATTTATAAATTTTCAATAATTTAATTTTCCGATTTGCAATTTTTCGAGTTTCCATTTTTACATTTTCCAGTTTTCGATTTTCCAACTTCTGGATGTTTAAATTTTTGATTTTGTAATTTTTCGATTTGCAATTTCACGAGTTTTTTTAATGTTGCGATTTTATCATTTTTCTCTTTTTCAATGTGAAATTTTACAATTTTTCGATGTGCAATTTTAGATTTTTCAGTTTCATGATTTTTCAATTTCCCAACTTTTGAATATTTGCATTTTTGAATTTTACAATTTTTTGTTTTTCCAATTTTTCGTTTCCACTATTTTTCGATTTGCAATTTTCCAATTTTTTTGTTATTTGTACTATTCGTAACTCTTCGATTTTCATTTTTAAATGTTTCAGATTTTCAATTTTCCAACTTTTGGATATTTAAAATTTAGATTTTGTACTTTTTCGATCTCCAATTTCAGGAGTTTTCAATCGATGTATAATTTCTCAATTTTTCGATTTTTATTTGCTTTATTTTTTTTTTTCAATTTGTCGGGTTTTCAAAGTTCTAATTTTATAATGTTTCGATTTGCAAATTTTGTGGTTTTTAATCTTTCGATTTTTAACTTTCAGATTTTTTAATTTTTCTTGTTTTTATTTTAAATATGTAACAATATTTTTTAAATACTTCCATTTTTCAATTTTACGATTTTAGAATGTTTCCTTTTTTCAATTTTTATTTAATGAATTTGAAAACTTTTAATTTTATTCGACCTTTCAATTTTTCGTTTCGGTTTTTTATTTTCGTTATTTTTACAAATTTTCAATAATTCAATTTTCCGTTTGCAACTTTCCGTGTATTCGATTTTCCAACTTCTGGATGTTTCAATTTTTGATTTTGTAATTTTCCGATATGCAATTTCACTAGTTTTGAATGTTCGGATTTTATAATTTTTCTCTTTTTCAATGTGAAATTTTAGAATTTTTGGATTTCTCAATTTTTTCGATTTGCAATGTTTCGGTTTTCAATTTTAGATTTTTCAGTTCCAAGACTTTTGAAATTTTGGAATTTTTAGATTTTGTAATTTTTCGATTTGTTTCTCGTGTTCTCAGTTTTTAATTTTTAATAATTATTCGATTTTTTAATGTTTCTATTGATAATTTTGTGTTCTTTCAATTTTTTGATTCCTTAATTTCCCATTTCTTCAATTTTTTGTTTTTTTAATTTTTGATTTTTCAATTTTTGTTTCCTCAATTTTCGAGTTTTCAATTTTTCATGTAGATTTGCAATTTTTCGTTTGGGTTATTTAATGTTCTAATTTTACAATTCTTTGTTTTTTCAATTCCGATTTTTAAAAATTCTTCGTTTTTTCAATTCCGATTTTAATTTTTAAATGTTTCAATTTATTGATTTTGCAATTTTTGGGTATTTCAATGATTATATTTTGCAGTTTTTTTTCTTTATTTTTTCCATTTTTCGGTTTTTCAACATTTTGATTATATGTATTATAATTTTTTGCTTTTTCATTTCCAATTTTTTCAATTTTTCGATTTGCAATTTTTCAATTCTTTTATTAATTTCTCCATTTTCGAATTTTCGATTTTTCAATTTTTTATTTTTCGATTTTTCAATTTATCGGTTTTCAACTTTTAAATATTTTTATTTTTCTTGTTTTCATTTTAAACATGTAATAATAACTAATAATTTTTATTCGACCTTTCAATTTTTCGTTTCGGTTTTTTATTTTCTTTATTTTTACAAATTTTTGATTTTGAAATTTTTCGATATGCAATTTCACGAGTTTTCGATAGAATTTTTCTCTTTTTCAATGTGAAATTTTAGAATTTTTGGATTTTTCAATTTTAGATTATTCAGTTTCAAAATTTTTCAATTTTCCATCTTTTGAATTTTTCAATTTTTGGATTTTGTAATTTTTCGATTTGTTTCTCGTGTTCTCAATTTTTAATTTTTCAATTTTAATGTTTTCAGTTTTCCGTTCCTTGAATTTTTCATTTTTTTGTTTGTTCAATATTTCGATTTTTCAATTTTTCGGTTTTTCAATTTTTGATTTGCAATTTTTCTTCTTTCCATTTTAAATATGTAATAATAACTATTATTATTAAAATATTTCACTTTTTTTTAGAATACTTCTCTTTTTCAGTTTTACGAATTTATAATTTTTCCGTTTTTCAATTTTTCGTTTCGGTTTTTTATTTTCTTTATTTTTACAATTTTTCGATTTTTCAATGTTGCAATATTATTATAATTTTTAAAAATTTTTCAATAATTCCATTTTTCAATTTTTTCCCCTCAATTTTACGATGTCTAACTTTTCGATACTTCAATTTTTCGGTTTTTCATTTCTTCAATTTTTCGATCGGGTTTTATTTTCTTCATTTTTTTTTCGACTTTTAGGTTTTTAATTCTGATCTATATTTTGTTTTTTCAATTAAGATTTTTAAAAATGTTTCCTTGCTTCAATTTTTCGATTGGGTTTTTAGTTTTTCAATTTTTAGGTTTTTTAATGTTTGGATCCATAATTTTGTTTTTATTTCAATTTCTTTTTCTCAATTTTTCGATTTACAATTTTTCAAATCTTCATTTTTATGTGTTTTGATATTTCAATTTTTAGATTTTGTAACTTTTCACATCGCAATTTAACGAGTTTTCAATTTTTTAATTTCTGAATTTTTCATTTCTTCAATTTTTCGATTGGGTTATTTTCTTTATTTTTTCAATTTTTAGGTTTTTCAATGTTCTGATTTATAATATTTTGTTTTTTTTTTTAATTAAAATTTTTTAATTTTTTTCTTTCTACAATTTTTTCGATTTGCAATTTTTCAATTCTTCAATTTTTTTTGTTTCCTCAATTTACGATTTCATTTTTATATGTTTCGGATATTTCAATTTTTATATTTTGCAACTTTTCGACTTGACAGTTTCATGAGTTCTCAATTTTTAATTTTTCAATTTCACGATTTTTCAGTTTTTCATTTTGATCTGCAATTTTTCGCTTCGATGTTTTATTTTAATTTTTTCAATTTTTCGGTTGACTTTATAATTTTTTGCTTTTTCAATTAAATTTTTTTCAATTCTTCATTTTTTTTTGTTACTTCAATTTTACGATATATCGAGTTATCATTTTTAAATGTTTCAGTCTTTCGATTTTACAACTTTTGGATATTTAAATTTTGTAATTTTATGAGTGTTCAATGTTTCGGTTTTTCATTGGTCGGATTTTATAATTTTTTGTTTCTTGAATTTTACGATTTTCGAATTTTTCGATGTTGCAATCTTTCGGCTTTGGAATTTTGACGATTTTATAATTTTTCGGTTCGATTCGTATTTTCTTCTTTCCAATTTTTCGATTAATTTTATTTTCGATTTTAAAGTTTCCCGATTTGAGTTTCAATTTTTCGTTTCTTCAGATCTTCGATTTGCAATTTTTCTATTTTTCACTTTTCCGATTATACAATTTTTCGTTTTTCCGTTTTTCGATTTTTCAACTTTTCGAATCAAAAAATGGAAAAATTGTAAAATTGAAAAATCAAAAATGAAAAACGAAATATGTAGTATAAAATCAAAACTTTGAAAAATCTAAAAATTGGAAATCAAGAACTTAAAAAACGAAATATTGTAAAATCGAAATACTGAAAAGTAAAGAAATCGGGGAATCGAATAATTGAGAAATCAAAAAATTGCAAAATTGAAAAAATGAAAAATTGTGATATAAGATCAAGAAAATGATAATTAAAAAATTAGGAAAATGAAAAATAACAATCAAGAACTTGAAATATTGAGGAAACAGAAAAATTAAAAATTGAAAAACTGAAAAATCGAAAAAAAAAGAAACCCAAATGTTAAAAAATGAAAAAATTGAAAAAAAAATGGAGAAACGAAAAATTGTGATCTCAAAAAATTGTAAAATCCAAAAAGCAAAAAATTGTGATATCAAAAATTGGTCGAAGGTGAATAAATCCAATTTTTCGAAAAATTAAAGACTTGATTTTAGAAATTTTCAGTACTGTAGTCCCAAATTTTCGGGAAAATGGAGTGTCCTTTGATAGGTTGCATATTCCTTGAAATATAAATTTCCTTGCGGAAGGTGGACCCTTAATAACCAAGTCCAGAAACACAGTACCCAGCTTTCAATCTGGGCCCATAACCTGTTACTACTCCAACTTTATTGTACGAAAATACAAATCCGGAATTGACACTCAATAATTATTGCAAGCCTTCTTCAACATTTATCACACCAAAAAGAACCCAATCTCTCACCTGGTTGCCTGTGAACTCCTGGTAGTTCTGGCCGGCCTTGGCGTTCGCCGCCGCGCCGTTGTCGCTCTCGGTGCTGCCCAGCGCGGCCGCCACCATCTCCGAGTCCATCTTGACGTCGTAGTGCCAGTCGTTCGGCACCGGGAACGTGCCCTCCTCGAGCCGCACCTCGAGCTCCTCCTGCATGGGGATGACCTCCACGTGCTCGGCGGGGTTCTCTTGGCCGACGATGCCCGCGGGAACGGATTCGAGCGCGTGCAAAGGCACTTCGAGCAGCTTTTCGGTGCTGGAGTCGACCAAGTCCCAGCAGCAGTCCTGGGTCGGAGCTGGAATACGAAAAGGGTGATTTAGATCGTGGAAACAATTGGCGCTGAATCGACGATAATGGATTGTTTTGGTTTGGCGAGTCAATTCTGCAGAGTCGACGCGATTAGTAAGGCGAGCGTGCGGATTTTTAGACGGTTAGACCACCAAAGGTGATGCGGAGGCGGCGGCAATTTTTTTTTTAGAGGGTGCGTTGGGTGGTGTGTTTACGGAAGAATTACGCGTTGTTCTGACGAGAAATCAGTGTTTTGTTATCAACAATTTTTTTGTGAAAGTTTTTTGACGTGTGTGTGGAAAAACTGAGTTGTATTAAGAAAAACGTCGTTAAAAAAATTTAGAAAAATTAGGAAAAGAAAGAAAACGTATCTACAAAAGCCCCACACTTAATATTATTACAAACACATTTTTATTATGAGAGCTGGTCGGTTTTTGTCGTTATCAGTTAACCGCAAACTTTGTTGTGCCAAGTCAAGAATTTATAGAATGTTAAAAAATAAAAATAAATAAATGACCACAGACTTTCTAAACAAGGCACTTTTTTTTCTTTAGGGTATTACTTCTGGAGCACCAAGATATTACAACTAGCAAAGGTTGGCTCGTATTAAATATTTCTGGAAGCCTTGATACTGGCTTTCTACTATTCTACAACATTTAGCGATTTAACTTGGAAACTATACAACCCACTACTCTAAAATCTTACGACATCATAGCATGATTCTGATATGGATCTATTCTTTTTTTTTAATATATTACTTGCATCCCCACCATCAAATCGATGACGTCACTTGAAAATTTTACAGTTACCTGCTATGTAAATTTAATAAATTAAAATTAATAAAAATCTAACAATTATTTTAGAAAATACAAAATCGGCAAAATTATACCAAGATTTTTCAATAATAATAACAATAATAATAATAATTAAAAAAAAAGAAAATGATGTGTTGTTTTCGAAAGAATTTGAACAAATCTTAGGGGCCCTGGTGCCTTATTTCAGAAATAATTTGAAAAAAAATTGGGATGTCTGTTGTCATTAAAAAAAAAAATAAAAAAAATGTGTCTGTTTTTAGGAATTTCAAGAATTCCTGGGTGTGTGATGTTTTGTTTTTGGAAAAAAAAAAGAAAGAATCAATGGAGTCTATGGTGGTTTTTTAAAGAATTTAAACGAATCTTGCCCCCATGGTATCTTGTTTTTGAAACTTAAAAATCGAAAAATGGGAAAGTTGAAAAATCGAAAAAATGAAAATTCGAAATATTGAAAAATCCTAAAACTGAAGTATCGAAAAATTTAAAAATTGAGGAAAACTTGAAGAATCGAAACATTCAAAAATCCCGAAATTGAAACATCGATAAATTGAGAAAATGAAAAACTGAGAAATCGAAAAGTCTAAAAGTCGAAAATTTAGAAACCTCAAAAATTAAAAATTGAAAAATCGTAAACCTGTAATATCGAAAAATAAAGAAATTGAAAGTGAAAATTTTAATTAATTAATTTAAATTTAATTGAGAAATCGAAAAATAAAAAATCCAAAAATCAAAAAGTCGAAAAATCTAAATATCGGATAAAAAAAACGAGAAGTCCAAACATCGAGAAATCGACAAGTCAAAAAATCAATTAACCCAGAAATTGAGAAATCGAAAAATTGGAAATTTAGAAACGTCAAAAAATGAAAAATCAAAAAAATTGGGAAGTCGAAAACTGAAAAATCCAAGAGTCGAAAGAAAAATCGAAAAACTGAAAATTCGAAATATTGAAAAATCCTAAAACTGAAGTATCGAAAAATTGAAAAATCGAAGAAAACTTGAATCGAAACATTCAAAAATCCCGAAACTGAAACATGGAAAAATTGAGAAATTGAAGAACTGAAAAATCGAGAAATCGAAAAGTCTAAAAGTCGAAAAATCCATTAATAGAGAAATTGCGAAATCGAAAATTTAGAAACCTCAAAAATTGAAAATTGAAAAATCGTAAAACTGTAATATCGAAAAATAAAGAAATTGAAAGTGAAAATTTTAATTACATAATTAATTTAAATTTAATCGAGAAATCGGATAAAAAAAAACGAAAACTCCAAACATCGAGAAATCGACAAGTCAAAAAATCGATTAATCCAGAAATTGACAAATCGAAAAATCGGAAATTTAAAAATATCAAAAAAAAAATGAAAAATAAAAAAAAATGAGAAATCGAAAAGTGAAAAAATGGAGAAATCGAAAATTTGAAGAGTCGGGAAACTGAAACATCCAAGAGTTGAAAAATCGAAAAAAACTTGAATCGAAACATTCAAAAATCCCGAAACTGAAACATCGAAAAATTGAGAAATCGAAAAACTGAAAAATCGAGAAATCGAAAAGTCTAAAAGTCGAAAAATCCATTAATAGAAAAATTGCGAAATCGAAAATTTAGAAACCTCAAAAATTAAAAATTGAAACATTGTAAAACTGTGATATCGAAAAATGAAGAAATTGAAAAGTGAAAAATTTAATTAATTAATTTGAATTTAATCGAGAAATTGAAAAATAAAAAATCGAAAAATCAAGAAGTCGAAAAATCTAAATCTCGGATAAAAAACCGAAACTCCAAATATTGAGAAATCGACAAGTCAAAAAATCGATTAATCCAGAAATTGAGGAATCGAAAAATCGGAAATTTAAAAACGTCAAAAAAATTAAAAATAAAAAAAACTGAGAAGTCGAAACGTGAAAAAATGGAGAAATCGAAAATTTGAAGAGTCGGGAAACTGAAACATCCAAGAGTTGGAAAATCGAAAAACTGAAAATTCCAAATATTGAAAAATCCTAAAACTGAAGTATCGAAAAATTGAAAAATCGAAGAAAACTTGAAGAATCGAAATATTGAAAAATCCCGAAACTGAAACATCGAAAAATTGAGAAATTGAAAAATCGTAAAACTGTACTATCGAAAAATGAAGAAATTGAAAAGTGAAAAATTTAAGAAATTGTAAAGTGAAAAATCGGAAAATCAAGAAGTCAAAAAATCAAAGCATTGAAAAGACGATAAATTTAAATATCGAATAATAATAATAATAATAATAATAATAATAAAAAAACGAGAACTCCAAACACCGAGAAATCGAAAATTTAAAAACGTCAAAAATTGAAAAACCAAAAAATTGAGAAGTCGAAAAGTGAAAAATGGAGACAACTTGAAGAATCGAAAGATTCAAAAATCCCGAAACTGAAACATCGAAAAATTGAGAAATTGAAAAATTGAAGAATCGAGATATCGAAAAGTCTAAAAGTCGAATAATCCATTAATACAGAAATTGCCAAATCGGAAATTTAGAAACCTCAAAAACTGAAAAATGGAAAAATCGTAAAACTGTAATATCGAAAAATGAAGAAATTGAAAAGTGAAAAATTTAAGAAATTGAAAAGTGAAAAATTTAATTAATTAATTTAAATTTAATCCAGAAATTGAAAAATTAAAAAATCGAAAAATCTAAATATCGGATAAAAGAAACACGAAAACTACAAATATCGAGAAATCGACAAGTCAAAAAATCGATTAATCCAAAAATTGAGAAATCGAAAAATTGGAAATTTAGAAACGTCAAAAAATGAAAAATCAAAAAAATTGGGAAGTCGAAAACTGAAAAATCCAAGAGTCGAAAGAAAAATCGAAAAACTGAAAATTCGAAATATTGAAAAATCCTAAAACTGAAGTATCGAAAAATTGAAAAATCGAGGAAAACTTGAATCGAAACATTCAAAAATCCCGAAACTGAAACATGGAAAAATTGAGAAATTGAAGAACTGAAAAATCGAGAAATCGAAAAGTCTAAAAGTCGAAAAATCCATTAATAGAGAAATTGCGAAATCGAAAATTTAGAAACCTCAAAAATTGAAAATTGAAAAATCGTAAAACTGTAATATCGAAAAATAAAGAAATTGAAAGTGAAAATTTTAATTACATAATTAATTTAAATTTAATCGAGAAATCGGATAAAAAAAACGAAAACTCCAAACATCGAGAAATCGACAAGTCAAAAAATCGATTAATCCAGAAATTGACAAATCGAAAAATCGGAAATTTAAAAATATCAAAAAAAAAATGAAAAATAAAAAAAAATGAGAAATCGAAAAGTGAAAAAATGGAGAAATCGAAAATTTGAAGAGTCGGGAAACTGAAACATCCAAGAGTTGAAAAATCGAAAAAAACTTGAATCGAAACATTCAAAAATCCCGAAACTGAAACATCGAAAAATTGAGAAATCGAAAAACTGAAAAATCGAGAAATCGAAAAGTCTAAAAGTCGAAAAATCCATTAATAGAAAAATTGCGAAATCGAAAATTTAGAAACCTCAAAAATTAAAAATTGAAACATTGTAAAACTGTGATATCGAAAAATGAAGAAATTGAAAAGTGAAAAATTTAATTAATTAATTTGAATTTAATCGAGAAATTGAAAAATAAAAAATCGAAAAATCAAGAAGTCGAAAAATCTAAATCTCGGATAAAAAACCGAAACTCCAAATATTGAGAAATCGACAAGTCAAAAAATCGATTAATCCAGAAATTGAGGAATCGAAAAATCGGAAATTTAAAAACGTCAAAAAAATTAAAAATAAAAAAAACTGAGAAGTCGAAACGTGAAAAAATGGAGAAATCGAAAATTTGAAGAGTCGGGAAACTGAAACATCCAAGAGTTGGAAAATCGAAAAACTGAAAATTCCAAATATTGAAAAATCCTAAAACTGAAGTATCGAAAAATTGAAAAATCGAAGAAAACTTGAAGAATCGAAATATTGAAAAATCCCGAAACTGAAACATCGAAAAATTGAGAAATTGAAAAATCGTAAAACTGTACTATCGAAAAATGAAGAAATTGAAAAGTGAAAAATTTAAGAAATTGTAAAGTGAAAAATCGGAAAATCAAGAAGTCAAAAAATCAAAGCATTGAAAAGACGATAAATTTAAATATCGAATAATAATAATAATAATAATAATAATAAAAAAAAAACGAGAACTCCAAACACCG